AAGTGGCGTGAAAGGAAGAAGTGAAGCTGGGAAGCAACTACTCGTTCAAGGATCTTGGAAATGGAGGTTGGAGATGGGGCAGTAATTTGAAAACAGATATGGGTCCAGGGAAGGTTTTTTGAGGATAGGGGTGACGATGGCTGTCTTCAACAGTATGGGAATGGTGCCAGTGGACAGGGAGAGGTTATGAGGTCTGTGAGTAGGGGGGGAAGAAGGTGGAGCTAGAAGTAAGGAGAGGGGTAGGGATGGGGTTGAGGGAGCAGGTGGTGGGTTTCATGTGGGTTGATATTGTTGAGAGAGGATTGAGAGATGAAGGGGAGAGGTTCGAAAGTGTGGAGGGAGGGATGGGTATGCGCCAGATTGCGTGAGGAAGATGGGGAGGGGGTGTGGTTGGAAGGGCAGAGGTGGGTGAGAGCATCCCCTGATTTTGGTCTTGAGGAAGTTTAGCATCTCTTCTCAGTTGGAGTTGGACGAAAGGATGGGTAAGGTGTGAAAGGGTGGGTGGAGGAACCGGTTGTTGGGGGTGAAGAGGAGCCTGGGGTTGTCCTTGTATAATTTTTGATATGCCAGGTATTAAAGGTCTTATGCCAGGTAACAGGATACCAGCTACTCTTTGTTTTTTATTCAGTAAAAGTAAAAAGCCAGCATTCAAATTCCTGCAAGATCCACAGTCTGTAAGGCCAAAGCCAACGAATCGTATTCACTGACATTGCCATTGAGAACCGTGTAGGTGGGTCCAAATGCAGCACATCCAGACAATACTCAATGTGATAAATATCAAAGGTATCGCTAGATTGTCCACATTTTCGATAAATGAGATAATGGACTCTAAAACGTGCTAGTTATAAATCAGAAATTGCTGAGTTAATTAGAAATCGCATAAGATTTTAAACTAAATTGAGAAAGTAAATACTTGCAGATGCACCAATTCTGCAGAATAAGCTGTAGGATTGCAAAGGGCAATTTCAGGACTGACACCAGAAAGTATTTCTTTACCCAGAGAATAAATTTATGACTGGTTACCAGGAAGGGTGTTTGCGGTCAGGACACTGGACTCATTAAAAGTCTGTGGTGTTTATTTTGGTCGGCCAGGTGTCTGACACATACAAAAAACGATCTTTTTTTTGGCCAGTCGGGTGTCTGACAGATGCGGAAACCCATGACTATGCTTAAGAGTATCCAAACTAAGCTGAGATTTCCATGAATCCCAGCTACACAGGTAAATCCCAGAGATAAGATTGTTGGAATGGAATGTGCACTCTTTCCCTAGAGGGACACATTCCTGCTTACCTTAGTCCAGAAAGTATTAGGCGCAGGTTGGCAAGAGCTAAGGCTTGGGGAACTCAGAGCGTGCGTTGTGGTACTGCTGGAGTCTAACCAGCTAAAACTGCTTAGCTTGCCATTGATATCAGTCTGATGGTGATGCCACTCATGCCACCTGCAGTGGCCAGGACACTGGACTCATTTTAAATAAACAGTTCAAGGCTATGTTGTTTATTTTGGTTGGCCGGCTGTCTTGACACGAGGAAACCCATCACCATGCTTAAGAGTATCCAAGCCAGAATAAGAGTTCCATTCATGCCGTCTACACATGAATGCTGTGATGGGTAGATGGCTATCCTGGAAGGTTGAGATCAAATGGGCTGAAGGGCTTTCTTCATACAAATGTGACTTGTAATCTTGTGACTACTGGTTTGTGAAACATGCAGTTCAGATCCCAGTATATATTTTTAAGGGTGTAATATGATGTTTGTTTGAAATTCATCTCTGGTCGGGCAAGGAAAGAGACATCCTGCAGGTTTAGATTTACTGTAATAACATTATCATCCAGTAAATGACTGAAAAATGAGTCCAAATTAATTTCTGGTTTTATGATAGATCAAAACTTGGGGTTTTCCCTAAACGCCTGACCTTTTTTCACACTTTGTTTTCCAGATTTGAATATTATGCTCATAATGTACTAATGCTTACTATCTGAGTTAATCAAACTGAATCCGAGTCCTGTAACACTGTAACACTGACACCGTTTATTGAATGCTAAGAATCTTCACAAAATCTTCCATCTGGAAAGTACAGTAGTGAGGTTTAAATGAGTAGCTTTGCTTATGATGCCCATGAGCTTTGAGATGTTTTCTTCACACAACAGGTAAAAGTAACTTGTATTGCATGACAAAAGGCAAAGTACTGCAGATGCTGGAAATCTGGTATAAATACAGATGTAGCTGGGAACACGCAGCAGGTCAGGCAGCATCCATGGAGAGAGGAAAATGAATTATCATTTCAGGTCAATGACCTTTCGTCAGAATTGAACAAAGGTCATTGAGCTGAAATGTTAACTAATTTTCCTTGTATTGTATGATATTTGGTCCAGTCTGCGATTAGTGCAGTTAATGCCATTAGCTTCTTACTCATTAAAAAAAAGTTTGTTGAATATTCCTGGGTCATCCTATAAGAGAGTTTTAAATGGAAAATGGGAGCCGGCCCACTGCAGGGATACAGTCAGAAGGCAATGACCCATCTCCTGAATCCACCAAATGGTATCAGTAGCAGGGCTCCAGCAATGATTTGTCTTGTCTGATCCCCTTTTTATACCCCACATTTGGCCAAATTTTGAAAATAATCAACACAGGTTTGGAAATTACAGTATAATTACTGTGATTACGTAGTTAAAACTATACTTTGTTTGCATTCAAAAAATACAGTTTTCCTGGAGCAAAGACAATGAATGACGAATGTAATGTACTGTACAACAAAATTCCACATAGAGTAAGAATGGAGATTGAAGAATTCGATGGCAGGCTGAAGTCTAAACATATGGGATTTGTACATTTTCAAATCTTAATGGTGGTCTAATGATTTGTCAACATAAAATATTCTTATTCTATTGTGACAGTTTTATTTTTATGTATAAGTGCACCTACAATCTACAGTCACTACACTTGAAATCTTGCGATGCTCTTTGATACAACCTCCCTGCATGAGAGGCACTATATCATATGCAAGGATTATTATTTTAATTATTATTAAGCATTGACAGACATATCTTGCAAAAAGGTTGTAAAAATATTATTTTTTTAATGGGCTTTTTAAACTCACATATTAGTCATTAGAATCTGTGATTTGAATATTTTTCCATGGTTTAAATTGGGATTTTAAAGAATGTGATTTTTTTACCCTTTTCTCACTGGTTGGTAAATCATTTTGGTGATATGAGCTTATGATGGGATTTTCCCATTACTAGGTCAAACAACCACACTTGTTGTTAAATTAACAATCAGACGAGAATAATGCCAGAGAGACCAAACAGATTTACTGACAATTGGAGAATCAGTCCCAAGATGTCAGGATGGGGTTGGAACCTATCAGTGACTGCCACTATCAGCAAACAAGTTGTGAATTGTTTGCAAAGTTCAGGTCATTACATGAATAATAACGTTTCATGCCTTTCATATTCTGTCAATATCAATGGAATGTAATCACATCAGCATGCTTCACTAAGAATAAAAAAAATTGAAGAGATAATTAGCTTTCAGCCTGGCTTAGTTCAGCATGGTTGCAGTCTCATCTCTGAGTCAGAAGATTGTGGGTTTAAGCCCCACATTGGGACTTTGAGCTCAGAAGTTGGACAGCTACATTGTCAGAGATAATATCCTTTGGATGAGACATTAACTCGTAGTGTTTTCTGCTTGTTCAGATGGATGCTTACGATCCCATAACACTGTTCGAAAAGAGAAGGGATTTCATTGCTTGGTCAACAATCTCCCAGAAGGAAAAAAATGGTATGTCCACATTAGGGCTGTTTGCAGGACATTGCTGTGGACAAACTGCCTGCATTCGACTACACAGTCCTACATTAACCATTTTCTGTGGAATGCTTTGAGAAGTTTCAACATGATAAGGCAAGGATCATCATAAAATCAGGATTTTGTTGCCAAAGGTAAACTATTGAAACAAAATAATAATAACATCCTTGTATTTGATATAGTGTCTTATCACGTCTTCAAGACATCTCAAAGTGCTTCACAGAATATACTGTAAAGTGAATTGTCTGTATACTTTGTGGGTGAAATTTGCAGAGTTTATTAATGGTGCCTTCTCCAAAGGTCTGAAATCATTGAATTCACCCAATCAACTTCAACAAGACCAGCTGGAACCTATATCATGACATAACATTGCATTCTGCTCAGAATATTAAAGGTGTCCAGGGGGAAGATATAAATTGTATTGACTAACCACTAAAAACTGTGTGTATCATCAATACATTCTCCAGGAAAATTGAATATTACATTGGAATTCAATTGGCATCAGTGAAGCTTCTTGGTAATCATATGAAGAAAGAAATTTTGTTTCAACTGCAATCACTTAAAGCTGCAATTTAATCCTAAATAAACATTGTAAAATTAGGCATCTGTGGACTGACTGGTATCTCCCCGTCCTCTCTTGGCCAAAATGTCTGATCAAAGGCATTGAGGCACAGACCTTTTATACAGAACATTCCCTTGTGTTGATGTCATAAAATTCCCCTCCAGTGATAACATGAATGAGGAATGGAATTCATCACTCTTAGGAGACAGTGAGCAATGGACAGAATTGCCCACATGTGATGTGACTGGAGAGGAATTTTATGTCACTGCAGGGAAATGTTTCACACAAGATTTCTCTTCCCGGGCTGCCTCTCACAGGCAGCAGGTAAGCATAAAATAGAGGCCTGAAAGATAACAGTAAGAATAACTATTACCCTTTGCCATGTATAGGATTATGTGACATATCACCCCTTAGACATTTAGAATTACGCAACAGTACATTTCTCCTCCAAGGTGTTGGTGTGAGAAATGTACCTGATTGAAGTTGCTAAGATTGAAAGCCTAATTGCACAGTGCTACCAATTTATGGAGAAAGTATTTTTTTTAAGAAATAAATTGAAGAATGAGGATATATATGTGCATAAGAGTGATGTGTAAATAATTACTAGAAAATCCTTGGTGTTTTTTTATGCAAAGAAGAAACCCAGATTTGGCTTTCTTTTTATTATTACTGAAGAAACTAAATCAAAATAGTAAGCATAATCACACAAATTTGGACTGGTTGATGCCAGCAAAGTTAGATGGCACCCGAAATATTCTTCAATGCTTACAAAATTACTTACAAACACCTCTATTTATTATTTCATAAATAGGCGCAACAGTTTCCATTAAAAAAAGATTAAATATAGACATACAGTATGGAGAAACAATTATATATAGCCATATGTAAAGGTTATAACTTAGCTGTCTCCAATCAGTTGCTGCATCTAATGAACACCAGAAAAGCATTTGGCAGGATTTTTTTTTGTTTTTTTACACAAAAGTATAGAGCGACATAATTACTAACCATTACACCATAGAGGATACAAAAACATCTATGTAGTACAAAATAAATGTGTTTTGCTTTTTTAACACTTAAAAACTGTTCATGCTATTCAGTGAGACAATTTGGAGTTGCTTAATAAAATTGTTGGAAGCAATTTTGCAAATATAGAACTATGAAACCATTTTCTTAGAAATTAAGCAAAAAATACTAATCTTGCCAATCTGGTCCCACTTGAATGATATAATTCAACTGGACAGAGCCAGTGTAAAGTTATGTTTTAGCTAGGAAACCCTTTATCATTTTATACTCTAAGAGAGTGCAACACAGACCCTATTTACAAACTTGCTATGAGTGCTATATCCATCAGTCAATTTTTTTTAACTGGTTAACTATCAAACAACTGATGGAAAGCCTAGGATTGTATTCCTAGATTGACATAAAATTGCTAAGGCAGTTCACTACAGCAGCACTCCACAGCAAAACCAACAGTAAGCAAAATGATCCAAGTTTCCTTCAGAAACGAAGCAGGACGTTTGTCCGTTAACAATCTTCGATGGAAAGAAGCAAGATGATGTCTTGTAACTTGGGCAATCCCACAAGCTTAAGTGCAAGCTTAAAGATCTAAGTGCTTAGCGACTTGTTCTCTAAAAGGACACAGAACTGCCTTGATGCAATCCATGTTTGAAGACTTCCCTGCAGTCATCATAGGAACGCTGAAGTCACTCCCTCAGGTGAGGTACAGTGATTTATCCCTCTGCAAGCTACTGTTGAGAAAAGACAATCATTGATTTGTGCAAGAAAAAAGAGAAAACAACAATTTGTGTAGATATAGTGCCTTCACATAGAATAATGTCTCACATGCTTCACAAGGATGTTGTAGATGTCGAACAAGTCAGGCGGAGGAGAGGCACGGTCAAAGAGATAAAAATAGAGTGGGAGTGAGATGGAGGGAGATCCAGCGATTTGGACACAGTTGGCCAGGACAAGATAATGGTGTGAGGGCAATGTGGCGTGTGATAATATCACCAGTACTAATTATTACATAAACCAAAACTGGAGTCAGTATTAGTCAATAGTTATCGTCAGCTGTGTGGGGTTTCACTGCTGAATATTGGTCAATAATTTGCACTGGAGATAGTATCATAGGTTGCATTTTGCCCTTGTTATGAAACGTCTCGAAGACATGATAAAGCACTGTATCAAATGCAAGGATTATTTTATTAAAGTCTAGTTGGTGAGCAGACAAAACATTTTTTTTGTATTTATCCAAATCAATTGCCAGCACCGTGTACAATAAATCAACCAGATTTATTACCCGCAAAAAAGTCCAGTGGTTTCTGCATGATTGCACATTGTTAACTTGTTTTTAAATCACTATGATGCATAATGATTGGGTTATTTCCCAGTAATGATTGCAGATTGCCAGTTCAATACTTCTATTGATTACATTACAGTGTGGACGGCATCACGTGAAAATTGCATGAAATTCCAGCTATGGATATCTGTCAAAAATATCCTGCCTGTTGATATCTGTCAAAACTACTACAAGAGTGAGAAAATAACAGGTTTATAAACAACTCTCTCCCTCTCACCCCCAGGAACTCAATAATAATTATTATTAAAAAAAGAGACACTAAACAATGATAACAATTCTGAAGTGCCACAGCTTCAATTACTAGCATGCAATGACTCCCTGATGTCCATTATTTGCCGTGTAATATAAGACCAACAGTGGATCATTAACCGACTAGATGTACTACTGCCTTCCTCTGTATTGTCTCATTAATTCCATGGGAGGCCTGTAAAGTTAGTGATGACACAATGTAATGACAGGGTGGGATGGGAAACTTAATTGTGGTCAGAGAGGAGGAGGTAGTGGTTGGGGGAGGGGGGGGTGGGAGCAATTTCCAATTCAGGAGGAGGAGACGCATGTGGTATCTGAAGGAAAGCCATGCTGGGAGGGAAGAGATCAGGACAATTATCAGTTAGGGATAAAGGCAGCCGTTGTGTGTCTGCGCTGGTAGGTGGGGAAAGGTTGATTCTTGTTGGCAGTTTTGGGTGGGTGACAGTTTAGAGCAAGATAGGGTACGGAGGAGTGAAATAAATGCAAATTAACTGCAAAAAATGAGACTGCAGTCACAAACGCCAATCATTACCACTGCGCCTAAATTTGACATACGTGAATATAAAGTACTAACAGTCCACCTAATTTCATGTTGCTTATGAATGCACAATATGCCAGTAGATAATGGGGAGTCTAATCATGGGGGGATAAATAGACACAATTTAAATCTTTCAACCTTCTTCCTTTCTTATGTGCAACTCTTGATAACTCACCCATTATTGCAGTAGTCGTTCCAGTCAACGCTCTGGGGCGGAGGGTTCCGGCATCCTGAACGAACACAGTCCATTGCCGGCGTAGCAACAGGTGCGGCGGTCGATGTTGAGTTGATTATGTTTTGAAACTCGGACTGTAAGTTGAAGCTCTGGAGGAGAAAACAAATAAGTATTTTCAGGCCTGTCAATTGCGCGATAATAACAACAAGAAATGAAATAAAATGCAACTTCACTTCAATTCTTTTCTTCCACAACTTTTCTGGATGAAAATGACTTTGGGGGCAGCTCTGTGAAAGAGTGCTTCGATAGACATGCAAAGCCACCCTCACTGCCAGTGAATCTTCTACCGATTGAAAGAACTTAACAGGGAAGGCAGCATCTTTTCAATCAACCACAAATGCAACGCTGTTACAAAAGGCCTCGTCTATTTAAAAATAAAAGATGCATTGACCACTCATATCATTGCTAGTTCAAAGAAATACAGTATATATATTCTTAACTTCAGAAAATACTTTCAAATACAGAAAAACATGTGGATCTCTGAATGAATGTTGTCCTTAGAGAAGTCTCAATTGCTTTGGAACTCGTTTCTCCATGAAATTATCTTTAGGACCATTAAATATCATTGGTAAGAAAAACATGCTGGTTTTATTTATATTCTATTCTGTACCATTCCTGTGTCCAGAGTTAGTAGGAAAATGTTAAATAGAATTCGAAAGTCATTCACTTTTTAGTGGTGAATGGCTAGAAATTCCATTTTGTTCTGAAAGCCAATAAATGCAAATTTACAGTGGTTGTTTTCAGTACAATTCATGCACTGCCTTATAGCCCAAACTGATTAGAGTCAATACTATTCCATTTGCTAAGCTCTGACTTTTGACAGTGCACGTAGCAACTGTATTACACAGGCGGTCAGCTTGTTACTCTGTATTGATCTCTGACAGACATAATGCATGACAACAGTTTGCTAGCAGTGTTCTAAGATTAAGGACAACACAATTTAATAGCGAGAAAATATCTCCATTTTGTAATCCTCTTACTGTTCAATTCACCACAATACATTTGTTTCAGTTGACGTCATCAATGCCTTGTGACTTTGGTCAACTGATGTGGTGGGGGGAAAGGGAACAGATGAGCTGAGTGTAATTCTTACAATGTAGCCAAATAAAAACTGGTAAGCGGGTTTTAACATTGGCCTATGATGAGGCGCAAAAATAGTACCTTGATATTGCCACTGAGCCATTCCAACATCCCTAATCTTTCATGCCATCATTATAATGTACTTCGGAAGACTAGTGCTGACACAATCCGTGGAGCGATGTGAGTGAGGATTATGCCTTTATAAAGTGTCCATGCTGCTATAGAACTCTGTATAAATATACTCCAATACATATACAGTACAGAATGAGATTCGCCAGGCACCTACAATATACAATTTACATTTATATAGTGCCATCATGTTGGGAAGTTGTCTCAAAGTGCTTGACACTGCTGGCTGGCGGTATGAGCCGAAGTGGGTGGGAGTGGAAAGATAATTGAAAGTCAAAAAGGTACATCTATAAACAGGCCTTGAATAAGGGGAGGGAGAGAGTGAGTTGGATGGCGCAGGGATTGCGTTCCAAAGAACTGTCAATTATCTACTGATTGAAAAGACTTTATATGAAAGCTACCTTTTTCCAATCAATGGAAAATATATTAGCAAGAGTCCTCTTCTATTTAAAAAAATAATTAGTTTCTGCTGATTATAGTTATATCAGGATTGGTGCAAATACAATACAGTACAATTTACATTTATATAGCGCTTTCAAGTCGGGAGGACATCTCAAACAATAAGCCTTTTAATATTATTCCATCTCAAGCAGCTATCTGATTCCCTTTAAAATAACCTATGCCTCTTGGAGTTAGCCTCCTTTACCAACACTGACACTTTCAATGTTCGCCAGACATCGAGTGCTCCACCTGGATCGATCTTGTGAGGTGAGGCAGCAGCGTCTCTGACATAAACAGCGATCGCTCCACGGAAATCTCTGTACGTCACACAATCATGAGGTTTCAGCTCCGAGCTCATATCTCACGAGGCGCAAAGTCTCAGCTGTCTAGTCTGTGTGGCATACAGGTGTTTCCACAGAGAAAACTCTTGTTTATGTTGGAAGGTGGTCTTACAAGGTGGCCATGTGGGGCAAACGCAAGTAAAGCCATCACTGGGAGTAACCCACTACTGGTTAGCATCCGGGATTGCACGCACAAGGGTTTCCCGATTTCAGACAGTTCACTGGGGGGAGATTGGCTAAAGGAAGCTCGGTGATTCCATTCGGGAGTCACCATGGCCCACTTTTGGGAATTTTCTCGGGTTTGGACGTGGTGTGGTGGCAGCAAAAGAGATCTGGGAGTAGGCTGCTCGGAACCCATATCAATCAGGTAAGGGAGGCATGGGTATCGAGGGGGTGGGAGTATGCAATGTTATTTTTATTGGCCAGCCGGGTGTCTGAAACATGCAGAAACCCACGCTTAAGGGTATCCACACCTAACTATGCATGTTAACCAACGATTGCTGGAATCTAAAATCCCCTGCATATAAAAAAATATTTCTGGTGCGATTTTTGATAATCTGTGAAGTAAATAAAGATGTTCACAAGAGGAGTCCCATTAATTACCTTAAAATGTTAATCTTCCAATTATATTCATCTGCTGGTATTAATAAAAAATCTAATGATTTTATTGAGAGCTATGTGGTTTTGAGGATTGCCCACTTGCTACGTAAAGTACATGTAGGTCAATAAACAAGGATTGTGGTTGAGCTAAGTTTAAGAGAAGGGATGAGGGAGAGTGCTTATTGTTTTTGTTGCTGTCATTATTATTTTAATCTTGATATATATAAATGCAGTTGTAGTTAATCTCTGAGACATGCATTTGGATCTGGCTGAAAGAGCAGGCAGCAGGTGGCTGGGTATTTGATTTAACTCTACCTATTCATATATTGTTCTCTAAACTCCTCTCCTTCATTCACACACAAAGGCACCATCTGCTCCTCTTTTATCTCCATGAGTCTCAACTAACCAAAATTCAGCCAAACACAGCTTTTGTTCTAAGTTCACAGGCAAGAAACACATCAAAAAACACAACAGTTCCTGAAAAAGAAGAACAGCAGCGTGTAAATAAAAATGCCATTCAATGTCTTGTACAAAAAAACCTTAGGAATTCAGAAATAAAAGCAATAAACTTGAAATAGCATTTTTAAAATAAAAAAACACGCATTATGCTAGCTCAGAGAAAAAAATGTCCAGCATATTTATGTGAAATTTGCATTTTTCTCATCTGTTTGATCTAAATTGTTGTAAATCTAAAATCTTGCTGGTTTTCATATTAACTTAGTTCAATGAACAGTTTACTTTTCAGAGGGTATCATTTTAGTAAAGGTTTGGGCAAATAAATACAAGCTGTAACATTAATTGATCATATTTATCATAAATATGAGCAATTAAAATTTGTTAGGATAGAATGGAATATACAATGAAATTGTCTGTGACAGAGCAGGACTAAATTACCTTCTTTTTCCTAAATTCTTATGTTTTGACTTCAAAACTTGAAAACTAAAACCATACATTTGGATTTGGTCACATTTCACCACCTAATTCCTCCTCTATAAGGATAAGATTGCAAATGAAACCTAGACGGGTTATGTTTGCTTTTTGGACTGAGAGAGTTGAAGTAGAATCCTGGGCCAATTAAACAGCAGTGACTGTTCTCTATCAGTCATTCATGAACTATGATGAAAGATAAATTGAGCTTAAAAATTAATGCAAAGAAGTCTAATTACACAATAGTGGACATTTTACAGTTTGATCCTCCAGCAACAATTACCAGCTGTTTTTCTGTGATTGGTGGCATCCATGCCTAGAATTTAAAATTTCGTTTTCATGTGCTGGACTGAAATCAAAAGGAGGACCCGATAGAGATTAATTTGTTGTCAGAGGGGACATTTGCTCTGTAATTAGATTTTTGAGTCCTAGCAATTTGCTCTGCTGCTGTGCTAAGTCTTATGAAGTCTGCAGCAAAACAGAACACTGATCTTCATCTCTGCACTTTACTGTGAACTAATTTCATTTCCTGCCTATCTGAAGAGGTGTTTTCATCAGGCATCAGGGCTTTTTTTGTCCTCGTGGTTGATTTATTCATCAATCTCAATGTGATTTTGTTTTTTTACAACCTTGAAATTACATCCAAATCCACACACATCTGTTTATTACATGAGAAAATTGAAAATCTGTCTTTGTGATATCATACAAAGATTTTTCCACAAGGTTATATAGCAAGTCGACAGATATTAATGATTTCATTTTTTGGGCTTCTTTCCCTTGTAGTGCATGGAATAACAAGGAGGTTTGGTATATCTGGAAGTATACTCTTGCCCTTGCTATTTTAGTTTCTTTACTCAGTTTAAAATCTTACGTATTTGATCAGCTTGTCCAAAAATGCTTTGCACATGTAATTCATGAATTAGTTACTTAATGAAGACAAAATATATGAGCACCCTCCAGTAAACACTACAAACTGGATATTTTGTATAATGATATAAGCACTTGTTAGGACTTTTCTACGTGTCTGACAATCAATATTATTAATAATAATAATCCTTGCATTTGATATAGCACTTTTCACGTCTTCTAGACGTTCCAAAGCACTTCACAGAATATACTGTAAAGTGAATTGACTGTATATTTGTGGGCGAACGCAGCAGCCAATTGCGCACAGCAGTGTCCCACAAACAGTCGTAGATTGAAAATGACCAATTTATTATTGTTTTGTTTTTGGAGGGATTATTATTAGGCGTGTGGAGTAAGGAAACTTGCCCAAGGTTTCGCCCTGCCTGGAATTGAACTCAGGTCTCTCGCTTGCAAAGCGAGTGCTCTAACCACTGAGCTACAGGACTCCACGGTATAAAGCACATTATCTTTCTTTCAGATATAATTCTAATTAATAAAAACTGCTATTGCCAAGAATAACGCTGTAATGATTACTCACGGGGTTGGGTGGGAGAGCTCCATAGAATGAGAAACTTTCACAGAGGGAAGGCCACATGCAAAGAAAGGCAAGTGACAGAACTGAAAGCCTAGTAGTGGTGGAGCGAGGCATGCACAATAGCAGTGATCAAGTGTACTGATTCTGTGTACTATGTGCATTTACTCCCCATGAATGCTATTTATTCCCATTGAATTCCCTTCACTTGAAAGTGATTTTACTAGGCTCATCTCTCCATGGCCACTGCCAGTGTTACCCATGCTTGTCTGCAACCCTAACTAACTGAACAAACATAATGCATTTCTTCAATGGATGGAGCGTCTAGTTGTATTTACAAACCAAGGAGAACTAGCCAACCAAAGCAAGAAACTTCTACCATAAATACAGGATCAATTGATTGATTAAATAGAAGATGAGTGATAATTGGAAAGTAGAGATATTAAAAGATATAGTGAAAGAAATGAACTGGAATTAAAAGAGGTGGTAATTTGTAATTATTAGGATAGTATGGAATATACAATGAAGCAAGCTTTCAGCCACTCTGTCCCCTCCCTCTAGAACTCCATCTTGCAATCCCTCCACCTCACCCCCTCCCTTGCCTCCTTCAAGACCCGTCTCAAGACTCCTCTTTGACCATGCCTTCGGCCACCCTCCTCCCCCTCCTGCCCTCCACCCTCCCTGATCCCGACCCCCAGTTCAGGTCCGAAACACTGATTGTGCAGCACCTTGGGACGTCCTACTGACGTGAAAGGCGCTATACAAATGTAATTTATTTGTTGTTGTTATTGAAATTGTCTGTGGCACAGCAACAAATGGCCTTGTTTTTCCTAAATTCTTATGTTCCTCAGAGCTTGGTAGCTATTTTACCATTGAATCCTAAGATGTAAATTGTTTGAGCTATCTGGTCACCCTGATATACATTGATTTGACATTAAAACAACAAATGGAAGAAACAAAGCAGGGTGACAGTATCTGAAAGAGAAAAATAACTGATATACTTGAGCTGAAGGGTCACATCCAAAAAGGTCACCTATCTTTCTCTTTCAGTTGCTAATTGAACTGCTTTGCATTTCAACCATTTTCTCTTTTAGATTGACAACATTTTCAACTTTTCTTTATATCGATGATTCATCTCACATCCAACTCACCAGACAATAAGAATGCAAAGTTCCCTGCACATCAAATGACCTGTGATTCTACCGCTAACACTGTGAATACATCAGAGGACTCAGGAATTCCAATGTTTTAACCAACCAACTCCTGGTTTTCTATTGCACAAAATCATACAGATTCAAACGTGAATGTAATTGAGTGAGCCAATTACTCGGAGGTGCTGCTGCTGCTGAAAAGTGCAATGTTATACTGACCTGCTGCATTGTTGGCGAGTGCAGAGGAGCCTGAACCTGCATGGGTAGCTGGTGATTTCCTATTTGCTGAGACATAGCAGAGGTCTGCTGCTGGTGAAGCTGGTGCTGTTGCATGGAAAGCTGCTGGTGCAGAGGAGGGCTGATCTGAAGAGGTGGAGGCGGAGAGACAGCCATATTTGCTATAGAAACAGTCACAGGCATCTGACCACTGGGTTTGGGAGCAATGCTCCTAGACAGGTTGGGGTGCATGGCAGATATGTGAGGGTTCATACCAGGCTGTTGATGATAGGCACCCGAGCCAAGGTACATTGAAGAGGGGGCCTGTGGTGGACCAGGAAACACTGACTGCTTTGAATTCATTATCTGAGGAGCCTGGGGGTTCTTTGTATCAGCAGGGTCATTATAGCTCTGTAAGGAAAGAGCATCGAGATGTTCAAGGAAATCACAATATAACAACAACTTGCACTTATATAGCGCCCATCATGCAGGATAACATATGTGACTAACGTACAATAAAGAGATGTAAATCATATTTGCTTTCTAAACATTTTCTTCCTTGATCAGGTAAAATTTGACTGTAAAATGTAGTGACTGTGTTTGTAGCGAACACAGGAGCCAATTTTCCTTTCCCTTTTCATTCCATGGGATCTTTAACTTTCAGCTGGACAGGTAGACGGAATCTTTGTTTAACATCTGACAATTATCTTAATATGTAAGAGACAACCTTATAATAATTATGCTGCACTTTAAAACTTCTGATATGACCAAACCAAAATGAATCTAGATATCAAGAACCTGTATGCCCTAATATGCACACAATGTCAGTGGCAATAAGATCAGAAGTTATCTTAGGAATTGGTACAAATAAATTATAAATCACTCTAGAGATTTTTTCAAAAATATTTTTCAAAGGTAGGATTTTCATCTGCAACCATGTAATGAAGTAAAACCACTTATGCAATCCAGATACTTTACTGGTTAGACCATCTAACATTGGAGGAGGGTAAAATCATAAACTGAATGTAACAGACACCCAATTGCTGTAATCCCATTATTTACTGCAAAGGTTGTACCTTAAATGATTAATAAGACCCATCAGACCAGAGTACACAATCATAATTCAGCTGTAAATCCAAAATTGGTTCAGGCATACAAGTCTCAGAAAGCTGGGTCTGCTTTTGACTTTTAGATTGTACACCAAAAGAATGCTATCTTGGTACTTTCAATGAACTGAGCAGTGAATAGCAAACAGCACTTCATCAACCAGAATGACAAGACAATTAATTAAGTCAAGTAACGCAAAAGGCAATGGTTTTAGAACTCTGAAGAACAGTTATTGTGGCCTGAAGAGATACAAAAGCAAAGCAGGTCGTCCGAGGTGTGGGGGTGGGTTTGGGGGTAGGGGTGGGGGTGGATGGGAGGGAGGAAAGAGGAATTTTAAATAGAGTGGTGTTGCATGCATTGAGGACACGGGGCATTACCTTGGAAACCAGGCTGGCTCTATATGCTGCTAACTGCTTGAGATACTCCTTTTTGGCAGCTTCAGTTTTCTTTTTGTACACCTGCAGGACAGTAAAAAAGGATTGTTAGCAGATGACTGAATTAACTGACTGCAGCACAAATTCACTAAAGTGATCTTTCAAGCAGTAACCTTAATAGTGTCAAATTAGATGAGCTAAACAATCATTTTTATTGAAGCCTTTGAAACTCTAACCAGTCAATTTATGTCAGACTCTTTCCTCTTGAGTCTTCCCTGTTCCAGAAACTGTTAAATAGAATGCACTTCAAAGTACTCGTATTCCACTGGTATCCAATGTTATCAACAGCTGCATAATCTGACAGAAGCCAACTGTTGCAAAGACCCTCTACCTGAAATGTTATTCCTTCCACTAATAGCATTGCGCTCATTCATTCTGTTATCAAAAAAATGTTGCATTGATTCTTTAGTAGGTAAATTTGTATTTGCTGAACTGTGGGCATTCAACAGCAAAGCACCTATATAAAATATAACACAGTATTTATATATGGGATGGAACTATTTTCCAATGTTTAGCTCTAGAGACCATAGCACGCCTTATTTTCTCATTCAGCACAGTTTTGTACCAACACGTTTTTCTGCTCGTAGATACAGTACTGCTGACATAATCAAAAATAAGATGAATTGTCTTAATGTGACACACACTGGAACTTGAAACCTTCTCTGTGAAGTATTCGAGAGGGAACAGGCCAGGGAAAATGTACTAAAGAGATTTTTTTTCTTTTGAAGCAAAGGTTGCTGTTCAAGGATCTGCGCAACAAACTAACAAAGCAACAGAGTTGCAGCCGGAATTGTTGCAATGCCAAAACATTTCAAATCATGTTAGAGTATCTGCAGTAAGTATAGCTTTTCTCATTCTTTGAATAAAAGTACAACCGCTCATAAACTTCCCATAAAGAGAAAAGTGCAACCTGAGTGGTCATGTGATCTTTCCCTTCTCTGCTGATTATGAGGACTCATTATGGGCCATACCCTCAAATCTCTGCCTGGACAAAGCAGCATTGAGTTGCAGATAACATCAAAAGTATTGAAATATAACACAATAAATCTGCAAAATTAGCTCCAACTCATGCCAGTTCTGAACCAGAATGGACTGGAGACTGGCAACAAATGTAGATTATTATACAGTATTTGTACTGTTATAAGATATGGGGGGATACTCTCTTCAGTAGGCAATCTAACATTTTTCTCATTTGTTTAACCTCAATATACAAGTATACTAGGTATACTACAATACTTTAAGAGTTGACGGAAAAATTATTTGGAGACTTGAATCTTCAGATGAGCTTGGAGTACTGAAATGTCAAAGTCCTGAGCTACAAAGTCAAGACAATAAGGGTAATAAAAGGATGCTGTGCAGATTACCATCTTACACATGACCTCAAGATAAACCCTCCAGAAGTGACCACCAATGAATAGAGTTTCCCTGATGAGTCTTACCTGCCAGGGAGTCACACAAGAAGATACACTGCACAACCCAAACTGCTAACCTCTGTTTACATAAAGTCTTGGTCTCGGAGGAAATTAACAATTATCCAGACTGACAGAGTTCCTTTGCAGTAGCTGCTTAGGAGGTTAGTGCCCTGTGCACATCATTACTTCCTCTCCATGGAAAAAATGTGAGGTGACAGATCAAACTTGGGCATGTGGTTTCCTCCGGCAGATGAAACTGAGAAAAAACCTTAGGCAAAAGGAAGGATTGAGCTTGAGAAATACCCTGTGAAACAAGAAGGTTCTTCTACCACTAACCCATACACTTTACCACCCCTTGCGCTCAATAAAGACCGGCAAATAACAGTACCAAGTGAAAGCAATGCAAAATTATGGGAAAGCAATGTAAGATTATGGGAACATTATTTTGCTCAGATCCAGTTTCAGGTTCAACAATTTGAAGAACTTCGGGTATTTTTCATGCACCAGGAACCAAGAGGGTTATCAAAGTATATGGGGAGGCAGGAAGTGGGAAGAGTGAAATTCATTTAGATTGCAGATTATTTGTGTTGAAGAAATTTCCAGGACAGAGTCAATGGGTCAAGTGATCTGTTTCTGTCCTGTAGAATTCTATGATTCTAGGTCACCACAGGGTGTCTCCCAGTTGCCAGCCCAGCAAAGCAGATAATAAGAAACAGTAGTAATATGGATTCTCAGTGAGTTCAAAGAGAGTCACTCATCTGCATATGAAGATCTGATGAAAATGCTGACTGAAGCTTTGATCATAGAAATAACAAACAAAATAGTTTCCACATGGAGCTGTAAGCCTCTATAAGTTGATGTATTGCAATTAGCTGGGTTGCCACCACCACCCCTATCAATTGCTCCTAACGTCTTTCAAGAACAACATTATCCATCAGATGATCTGGGAATCGAACCTTCTGCAGATGCAAAAGCCATTCTGTATTAACTTGTACGTGTAACAATACCAAGGCTGAATCCCTGTGAAGTGGCTTCACTTAGGATGGTTGTATTGCATTGTTTGTCCAACCATGGCAGGCATCGGCAGATTGCACTAATATATGGTGTCGATGAAATAGTGACACAAAAGCCTTGCAGACTACTGACAAAATACACTTGAACTCAATAAGCTTCAAAGAAACTTCCTCCCTAAAAACCCAAAGGTCGCATATAAGATACTGCTATGCTACCAAAAACTTTTTTTCATATGTAAGAGACAACTGAAGATCTGCTGCTAACACAAGGGGGGGAAAAAGAGCTAAGATTCCAACCAGAATTTGCCTGCATCAAGCACACAAGCCATCAGCCCCATCCTGGCTTGGCTCCGCCAGCTCCCCATCCTCCCATGGATTGACATTCAAGATCTTCGTCCTCACTTTCAAATCCGTCTTTACCCCACCTAACTTCTGTGAACCCTGTGACCTTACTATACAGGCTGCTCACTCCACTTCCCAAACATTGGCCCATCTTCACGTCCCCTGCCTAATGTGACGTCCCTTCTGGTAGGTGAGCTTTTAACTCTTTTGCCCCCATTCTGTGAAACGTCATCCCGCAGTCCCTCCCTCTCCACTTTCAAAAATGACCTGAACTGTGTGATGAGCTTTGAGATGTCTTCTATATAAATGTAAATTGTTGTTGTTGCATTGTATAACAAGGCCTTATAGAATGATAGAAGGGCTATACATTTCAGTAAGATTCCCTGACTGCTTAGAATAGGAGATTTTTCAAATAAGTAGATGGTAGTATTCTGTGTTAGGTAAATCATATTTTAATGTGAAGGCTTATATACGTGAGAATGATTTGTTTCAAAGAGCCTGCCTCGAAAAAAGGCCCAGAGTTCTTTAAAATAGATCAACATTTTTACTAAAGAATTTTTGAAAACATATTTTTCTTTGAATCAAACAAAAGGAAGGAATTATACTGTGACTTAAATTCATGATGAATTGGGCAGCAAAAATAATGCAAGTGGGTAGAATAGCAGCTTGGTCAGATTTACAGCCTCAAGTCACATTTTTGTAGTCTGCATGTGCTGCAGGCAAAGTGCTAAGAGTAATAAATACCAATTTCAGAAACAAAAGCAATCTTGGTGCAGCCAGTGGCTATATTACAACAGCAGACAGAAACAGATGAAATAGGGCCTAGTATGCTTTTTCCTATTTATGCAGTAAACCAAAGGACCACAGAATCCCCTTGTAGGGAATTAAACATCGTGACATGTAGCATTTTTCTTATCATTGACTTACGATCCTATTATGGCCTTTTCCAGCCTTTTCATTCATAGTCCCTGTTGTGTGTTATATATACTTCATGGTCAAACCAGGAATTTGTTTAAATCCCCAAACTGTACATAATCATTAAAATCATTACCTCAGAAAACCTCCCTGCCTTTCCAGAATATGTGTTTTCTTTAAAAAATGTAGTTGAATATTATATTCAAGTTTCACATGCCCATATGTAACGATTCCTGATGCATAACTCTCCTCCTTTATTCTCGTCCGACTAATACCCTGGATCTTATGATGTGGTTTAGACAAGTCCTAAAGTATATTGAGGAGGTTTTGTATTTGATCACTTCAAAAATCCAGCATATTTAGATTTTCCTGCAGGGCACAATCTTTCCCCCCTCCCCCCAAACGTTTCTCAACAGATGAGCATAGATTAATCAAGTACGAGGAAATTTTACTGTTTGCAGGACGGGATACTGCTGTGCGTAATTGGTTGTCACGTTTCGCCTACAAAATACACTTTACAGTATATTCTGTGAAGTGCATTGAGATGTCTCAACAATGTGTTAGGGCGGAAAATCAAATGCAAGGATTATTATTATATTATTATTCCGGTGGTAAAAAAACATTCACTCCAATTTACAGTATATAAGCACTTCCGCCCGACATGAAAAGCGCTGTACCAAATGTACGGATTATTCTTATTATTAATAAATTTATCCAGTTTGCTGTATGAGCAGATCCCATTCTCCACTGTTGAGTGAGCTTGTAAAGGGGAAAATCCCCTACTGTGCCATTTCTAGCCCTGAGGAAGAAATGCCGACACCATTTTCTTCTGCATTGGTTCAAATCTAAAAGCTTTCCTGTATTGATCACATCTAGCGCACAGATGGCCTGTCTTTAACAAGTGGTTGGGGGCTTGAAAGCTAAATTCAATAATACAGCCTGTAGCCAAGTGCATAAATGGAGAAAGAAGAGGCTGAATCTTCATGGGGGGAAGAAGAGATCATGGTATTTTATCTTTTTCTCAGTTTAGCTACATTTCTCCGTTCTAGCTGAAAGGGCCTTCTCGTAAGGGAAAGTCACTGTTTTCCCTCCGAAGACCACCTACATGGTTTCCATTGTTCTAATTGAGGACAACTCCATAGCATCACAACTCGGGAGTTATTGTCCTAATTGAGGAGAACAGCACAGCAATGTCACGCAGAGGCCATTGTTGCAGTTGAAGACATCGTGGCAACCAAGAGCCGAGCACTGCTTCACAGGGGTCACCGTGCTAATGAAGTACAGCATCCTGATAACACACAAGAGCCATTGTTCGAGCCAAGATCTGGGTGGTAACATCACACAGAAGCCATCATTCTAGTTGAGAACAGCAGAGCGAAATGACATTGTTCAAACACAAAATATTTCTGTGCTTTTTGGCTGTCCAACCTGAGATTCCGTCAGGAACTCACTAACGCGGAAGAGATTAAATGATGCAAACAGCAATGCAATACTTCATCTATTGCTTCTGATGTCCTGCAAAGATATCACTGGGGTTCTCAAAGGGTTAAAAACCAAGTCATTGTCTTATGTCAGAAGTACTATGGGAAGGAAATTCTATTGCCATTTAATTGTTTGCACTTCACAGCAACTTACTGTACCAATATGGAGACACTAATAGCAATAAGAGTGTGAAATGACTGTGAAACAAAATGTCTCAGCTACTGCCAAGAATGCCTTGTATGTATAGATCAGCTTACATTTCGCCCACCCATCATCATGACATACTCGAGCTCAATCCATAGTAACTATTTCTATGTTTACAAAACGAATCATGCACACTTCTAATTTGCAGAAAAGGTATTATAATTATTCACAATACAAGACAAGGTTGCCGAGTGTTGTGCTGTAATCAGACACCCAATTGTATGTGAAAATCAGTCAGGAGAAATAAGAGAAGAAAGCTGTGATTTTTATGCTACATTATCTATCTGCTTTGTGAGCACCAATGAAGAGTAAATGATTTGATTGACTTGACTGGACATAATATTAATGGAATTACTGACAGCTCAGAGAAGAAGACATCGGTTTTGGGGCTCAGTGGATTTGTCAGCTGCCTTGGAAGCATGATTCCAGCTCTTCCCATCCTTGCTGCACCTAATTCACCAGGACAGGCTCATAATTAAAGCAAATTAACTATTTACACTTGCAACTACTACCAGGGGAAGGATGACATCAGCAGGAAGGAACGAGTGGGAAATTAAATTCTTCCCACTTATGTCAGCTCTGCCCTCATACAACATATTAACAGTAATTTTATGAAGCGTCAAACACAGGAATAAATACCGTGGGTGAAGCAATTAGGTGTTGCTATTGAGTTAAACTGCTCGCGTTAAGGTTACTGAATATAAATTATGCAGCTGAAAGCAAGCATATGTTATAGTGCTCAACAGTTGCTAATGTTACCTAATCATTAATTTGCGGATCAGTAAATTAATCCATGGCAGCCAGCTCCTTCTGCAACTGAGTTTATGTTTTAAAATAAGCACTGGGCCATAACAACAATAGCAGAATCATTCACTGCCTGCAGCTCAATGGAATCCAGCTTATATTACATCCATTTTCCACAAAGAAAAATATATCTTTAATCTTTGTTAAAATATTCAGTACTTTTCTTTGCCTAAATGGACACAATCTTTGTTAATAAATAGAACAATGAATAGTGCTAAAGAGCAAAGACAGAGTCGATCTCAATAGAGTTTTTGTAACAAAATGTCAACCGAGTTGATGCGATGGAGGCTCTACACAAGCTAAAAGGGAGGGGCAATTGTGATAAATTCTGTGTGTGGCTGTAAGGAAGGAACTGTTATTATCTGACACCACTTTCGTTTTATTTTTTCAACTTGTTGCCTTTATTTTTACACAATTCTAATAAGGCAGGCGTCTGATGGATTGCATGTCTTGTTGGAAACCAATTTTCGCTGTTTTTGTTTTCTTATATAGAAAAAATGTGCAAGTAAGACTGCAAGGGTGTTGGCATGACTCAAAATGGTGAAGCATGTTAATTCACTGCACCTTTGCAATCATACCTTTCTTTTGGTCACCTTTCCCCTCAGACCCCCCCCTCCACCTTCCCCTCTACCACGCCTGGGTTACTTGTCAGCTGTGTGAAGCGCTTTGCAGTCCATCACTTTATAGATTTTCTGTTTCTACTTGCCATTATCTGACATTCCAACTCATCGCATTTCTTAACAGGATTCCTAAACAATAATAATCATTGCATTTGATATAGCTCCTTATCACATCTTTGAGACATCTCAAAACACTTCACAGAATATACTGTAAAGTGAATTGACTGTATATTTTGTGGGCAAAACCGGCAGCCAATTGTGCACAGCAGTGCCCCACAAACAGTCGTGGATTGAAGTGAACAATTTATTACTATTATTTTTGAAGGAATTATTACCCCCGGAAAAACAATCCGCCAATCAACTAACAACCGAGTTCTTACTTACTGCTAGGTAAACAGAGGTGTGTGGAATAAGGAAACTTGCCCAACATTGAACGGTCTCCCACAAACAGCAATGCAGTGAGTGACCAACTTTATTTGGGGTACTATTTACCAGGTCACCAGGAGAACAAGACTTCATTCTCTTTTCAAATAGCTTCATGGGATCTTTAACATCCACCTGAACAGGCAGATGGGTGCTCAGTTTAACATCTCATCCAAAGGACGGCATCTCTGACAATTTAGCACACCTCCAGCACCGCATTGATGTGTCCTTGTGATTCCAAGTCTCAATGTGAGGCTTGATCCTCACACCTTCTGACTCAGAGGTTGAGTGCTACCACTGAGTCAGGCTGATATCTACGAATAAAACTGGTAGAAAACCCTAAGATGTTAGTCCACAGCTCTCTATTCCTCTCAAAGGCTTTACAGATCTCGGAGGTGATGACAAACTATATAAGTCCTGAACAGCAGTGCTCCAGAATACCCCAGTGGTCAAGAAGGTTACCAAATGCTAGCCACTGCCGAAACCTCACTGTCATTAACAGATAAGTTAAGGTTACAGCATCGAGGAACCACTTCAGTGCCTCACAAATAGCAACATTTTTTTTGCACCTTTCCCATGCAAAGATTGAGACCTATCGCCTTCCACATACAATACATCAAACGTACTGTGATTCAAATACAATTGTAACAAAATCCTTCACAAAAATGTATCATCAGAGCATTCATTGGCATACAGTACTCCATTCATTCAACTAGAGTACTTGATAATTACAGTTCAGATTTCTCTGGCAATAGTTGAAACTAGAAACAAGAAAAAGGATGTTCAGGCTATCTAGCAAATACTTCAATTACCCTCACCACCGAGAACCATGTAGACCACTTTCATCGCCTTCCTGGTGAGCTGAAATGTCTTTCAAGTTTGTTTGCTTATGACTTGTATCATCTACTCCTTGTCGAACAACATACCAATCCATTTATTTTCAGTGGGGTTTAACATAAAGTTGCTATATGAATGTTGTGTGTTGAATGCTGAGCTATTCATCAGACTTACATATTCTAATGGCAAACTGAGAACTGAACTGAAGGCCGAACAGTGTAGCACCTCAAAATTGCACGCTCACCTGCTTTTGTTCCTCGCCTAAACCATCCCACATCGAGGCAACGATTTTTGAAACTTCACCAAAAGTGGCATTTGGGTTTTGGCCCTTAATGGCTGCTTGAGTATCGCGAAAGAAGAGAGCGTAGGCGGACACCGGCTTCTGGGGCTCATTGGGGTCCTTCTTTTTCTTCTTTTTTGGAGTTTTGGGTTTCTTTCCCACATCTACGGCTGCCCGTTTTTCACCACCATTCATCTGTTGCATGAAATAAAGAACAATCTTTAAATGTATCGAATTCCGCTGTTTATTTAACCTGCTGCAATTTCACAGTACAGAAAAAGAAAGAACATTGGGTTGAACTTGTGAGATTCAATAAAGGATTTGCAAATAGCGAACCCCAGACTTGTGACTTCAGACCATGTGCCATACTGCTTTGGACACTTCATGGAAACTAGAACTGAGCTATGACACATCCAGATTCACTTTTCAAAAATCCTTTTGCAAATCTCACAATTTAAACACCAGTGATTCATCTGCTATGCTGAGCTTGTGTAACCTAGATCAATCACATCTCCAGTTTGTCTTTCAATAAACTATAGTAGTACTGTTTTAAGGTTCTAGTCTAACATGCTGTCGTCAAAATAATTAAGAACTGTGACTATAAATATAACAAAATGAGCAGAGATACAAACAGAAACGTAATTTTGCCATTATGCATTTGAGTAAAAACAAATTCCTTACATTTGTCAATATATTGTATTTGAGAATTTAATGTTTGTTATAAGATAAAATTGTATATTTCTGCCAAGGAAATGTAGGATTGTTTGTAAGTTAAGCAATTCTGTATAAGTCATAAGCATCAGAACACGTGAATTTCTTCAACCCTTCACCACATGTTGCAACCACACATTTTTCTCAGCATATGCACAACCCCGATAAATCTATAGGAAGCACTGCGCAACCAAAATGTACAACGACCTCATAAAATATGTCTATTTCTGTAAACTTTTGAAAATGCAATAATAAAAATTGAGCTACTCAAATTCAACATCAAATTCAACATCAGTATAAGAAACTGTGACAAAACAGTGTTAAATACAGTCTGAAATGTAGTTACGGTTTTTAAACCGTATCTGATTGCGATGTGCTACGGCATGAGTCTAATGCGACCAATCTGCTAAATGTTTAATACAAATTATATTAGACTGTAATGTTTTTAACTGTTAATGTGCAACGATTTGAAGCTTACAGAAGTCAACTCTCCTCCTCCAAAGTATTTCCCATCTCCTTAGTAAAAGAGCTGAATTACATCCCTCCCCGCACCCCACCCCCATCCAACACATTCGCACCCTTATACACAAATTTTTTATAGGTATCAACGCCTTTGCTTGACCAGGTACCTAGTTGATCAAAATGTTCCAGGTTTGTGCTCAAATGAAATTTGTTCAGTAATTTTACCCAACAATTATTCCCATTCATGGCTATGCTACAACGATATGACCAACTATAAGTGATGAGTTCAAACATAACAGATTTGTTGGTGTGGGTAGCTCTGCTCTGCTCCCATAGTACCAATCTGTGCCATTGACCTCACCCTCAGTGTTATCAGTAGTGGTACAAGCAATATGAGGAAACCACATAGTCTCGTGGTTCAACTCACGTCCCTGCTTACAGTTAAAATGTTCCATTGTGTTCAAACATGTTGTGATCATTCAGCATCTCCCACTGCTTTTCTAATCTGAAGTGCCATCGATGCAAACATTACAAAGGAGTAACTACACAAAACCTCAGTCAGACAACTGTACGTATATACATGTGTCAGGGGCCCCTGAGACAGTCTGCATCTGATATCAATTAGATGAATACTTGCAAAATGGAACGGTGTAAGATTTTCCTAACCACAGCAAGATAGAGAAATGATTCAAGGAATTAATATCTTCTGGATGATTAGTTTCCAGCTTGAGGAGAGGCTCTCTGATTTTTATGGAACAGAGGTTCTCAATGTGGGGTGCGCCTCCTGTGTGTCTTTATGTGTGTGTGTGTGTGTGTGTGTGCATGAGTGTGTGTGTGGGGTTGCAGTTGTTTGCTGTTGTGATTTTCTGGAGTGTTTGTGCATCTTTACTTTGGCAGCTGTGATTTGTGCTCTTTTTGGGCAAAGCTGTGGGATAGCATGGAGGATGCTTTGTGAAGTAGAATTGGTGCTTTTGACACTCATATTCTTATTGTAACTGTGTTGATCAGATTCCTTCTACTTTATTGCATGTATTCTTGCGGAGTATGGGATTTTCAGTTCTGTGTGTTTTATTCGTGAACTGTGAGAGGTGCAATTGTTTATTTTGGCTAAGGGAGGCTCACTATGACAAAGTTTGAGAACCCCTGTTATAACCTTCCACTACATTGTTTCGCCCACAAAATATACAGTCAATTCAGGGTTACCAAATGAAATGTATTTGACATGTAATATTCTGTTTTGTTGGTTATAAATGCATATATTTTAAAAATTGTTTAATTCTTGGGACAGTTTAGACCACTGTGCAATAGTTATGCAAAGTTTGCAAATAAGCAGTGAGATTTACATTGAGAGCACAGTATGTCTTGATGCTACAATAATTATGTAAATGTTGTCCATATGCAAAATCAAGCAATATAAGCTGGAGAGGCAAGCAGCTGCTACTTAAACTCCGCACCTCCAATTGGTGGAACCATTGCTCAATGGGAAAGGATGTGTGCCCGAGCCGCGGATAGAAAGACAGTGGCAATGTTCTCACGCATTTCATGCCCACCAGTATGTCACAGGGAATTTCTTGTATCTACCATCCACCTTGTGAGGGCTCAAACCAAGCTGAGATTTCCATGCATCCCACCGAGACATGGAAATCCCAGAGATAGATTGTGGGAAAGGATTTCGGCACTCTCTCCCTGGAGGGAACCCAAACCTTGGCTATTGCCAACCTGCACCTAATACCTTCCGGAATTAGGGAAGCAGGATGTGTCCCTCCAAGGAGAGAGTGCGCATTCCATTCCAACAATCTATCTCAGGGATTTCCATGTGCTGGTGGGATGCATGGAAATCTCAGTTTGGTTACTCTTAAGCATAGTGATGAGTTTCCGCATGTGTCAGATACCCAGCTGACCAACAAAAAAGCTGGAGACAATGAATGTTACCCAATAGGAGCAGTTTTCATACTTTAAAATATGAATTTATGTTAACGTATAAAAAGCCTCGATAATTGTTCTACCCTTTAAATCAATATTTACTTTCAAGATTCATGGCCCTATATCTACATTCTGATTGGGTTTATGACAATCAATGGCGCTTAGCACACAAAATACATGTGCAAACAGTCTTTCAGCCCAAATGGAAATTTAAAAGTAAAACACAACAAAAGTAAACATTGAAATATAAATACATGCGCAATTTTTTTTACTGAGATTTAATCAACTGGAACCGATGCCTCTTCAGTGCTCATCATAATGTTTTCACTTCATATGCTCCTCAATCCTCCTTTTGTTAATCAGCTTAGGAGGGGAACTGTTCTTTAGGGAGATGGTGGGAAGGGTGTTTGGATGTTCTACCACATCTTTTTTTCCCTTATTCCCAGTCTTTCTTGCTTGGGTTATTAGACTCAAGTTATCCCTAGACCCCAAGAAGATTCAATTCTCCCCCAGTAGATTCAGTGACTTAAGTCATTTATCACATGGTTAGAAAATTGTTACTCTTTTTCACATCTGAATGAATCACTGAGCTGTCAAAATACCACAGTAAACTCTTGTCAGGGCCGGTATGAATTACAGCAGGTCAGAAAATCTTCATTTTGTGGCGAAAGGGAAGGGATTTTGTTTGCTTGCCTTTGGATGTGAGAGATGTTTGCCCTGTATTTTTGTCACATGTGGTGATGTGCCTTCCGAAGGAAGAGGTTTTTATTGTGATAATGGCTGTTTACTGTTTATTCATCCTTAAGGAGTTAAGGTAGTCCTCTACATTCACCAAGAAAGGAGGCATATTCTAACTAAGTATGATTATGGATGGAGAAGTCAGCCCGAGATTGTCAAATCCATTTATTTCAGGAAATATTGTGTTGTGGGGTTTTCCATGCTCAGAAAGGATTTTTTTTCCTATTTCATGTCCTGTTCTAATAGGGTTTCTAATCGGGCTTTGATGTATAGGTGCAAAGTTTCAGACATTTTTTATTTTCTTCATTTAGAATTCATAGGAATACGAGAATAATTCATATTCAACCTAAGCACTGAGCATGTGCCTTTTTCATTATAATTTCATCTGAAGGATGAAAGTCTCAGTATATATTTTTGAAAACTCACATAAGTAACTTTAATATTCTTTGCCATTCCTTCCTAATCCTATTTTCTTTAAATCACATTGTTCAAATTGCAATTGCTGGCAACATGATTGAAGCTGGCTTGGAGAAGTTCCTGAGCCCAAGGGCACATTAACATATGCCGTTCAATTAACAAATCTCCAAACCACCCTGGGTTAATAACAGTTCTCAACTGATGTTAATGCAGTGTTCTCACACTGTTAGGCTCAGTGACTCCTCCTAGCTTTTTAATTTGAAACTTTACATAGAATATTAGAATCTCAGTAGTTATAGGATAACAGGATGTCCTTTGATCCGACTGGCTGGTGCTATATCATCCACTGGAGTCATCTACTCTAATTTCAATTTCCTGCACTTTCACATAACTGAAAGCTTTACGCACCTTGGCTGTCTCATCCGTTTCATCTTCATGGACTGAGCTGGACGGTGATGGGGTAGCTGACTTGCTTCCTGGAGGGGACGGTGAGCTGTGTTGGATAGCATTTCCTCCCATATTAAGACCAAGTTGTGCACTAAGCTGGGACTGGTTTATAGTGGTCAGCTGACCGTGCTGCATTACTCCCGACTGTCTGATGTCTGTAGATCGGACAGTGGGTCTCATAATTGACATCTGTGGATGAGCGCTGTAATGGGTGGTCTCTGTGTTTCCCAAATCATGCATCTGGAAAAGAAAATGATTGGGGGGGAAGGGAAGAGGGAATAGAAATAATAAATAAAACTGTACTGCACAAAAAACACACATATTTACATTGAGATGGATTGCATGAATTGTACCATGTTATATCCTACATGTGTTATTTGGGATTCATCTTAGGTCATGTGACTTATTAAAAAAAAGTATAAACGTATGTATATGAAAATAAAAGTAGTCTAACCGGGGTAGTCTAACCAAGGAAGAAGAATGTCAAAGCAATTTGCGTACATGCAGTTTTAAATGGTGAGAGATAAGAATGCTAAATTTTAATGTCCTATTTCCAGTCACCGTACAAAGCGGCCTGAGTGCACAGAGTGGAGCACTAAGCAATCTTACTGTAGAGTCACTGCACTTCCCTGATCTGAACCGCAGAAACCTGCTGTCTGTCGCCTCAGGTAACATTGTCCATTATATATATTTCCAGCAAGCGCCCTGCAGAGTTGATAATACAAAACATTGGAGGACATTCTTGTCAATGGCCTTTTTTGTACACTGAGATCTGTGGTGAGTTATGCAGAGTTGATTTTAATTAGGCCCCTTTCCCAGGCTTTTAGTGAAACATAATTTGTACAGAATGTCCAATATCTATAAATATTTCAGACACCAAGATATCTAAATAATTACATCAGTCTAAAATAAAACATTGTTACATCTATTGTGATCAAGTTAGCACTACTGTTACATAACTGCGTATGCTGTATCTCCAATACAATTTTTGAACCCGAAATTGCACCTGGGTTTAGCCTTCAGTCTTTAAACATCAGATGGTGCAGAATTTCAGTAAATAACTGTTCATTCTTAATTTGAAGATGATGTTTATCAGTCCTCTTTTAAGAACTACAGAAAACAACTTCCCAAATTAAGACTACATTAAAGAATCTACCAAGATTTTACAGAATCTGAAATTTTAAGGCAATGGTCTTAATGTATATCATCCAAATGGAAGTCAACAAAGTAACTTAAGCGGGTTTCTGAAAGTGGATCTGTACCCGGGGTTATTACAACTTACAATTGTAAGTAAATTATTTAAACCCTTATCCACAAAAAACGTCAAGTCCAGTTTACTTGACACAAGCTGAACTGAAGGAAACCTCCAGTGGTATATAATAATAATCCTTACATTTGATATAACACCTTATCACTTTGTTGAGATATTTCAAACTGCTTCGAAGAATGTACTGCAAAATGTAGTGCCTGTCTATTTTGTAGGCAAACGTGGCTGTCAATTTGGGAACAGCAATGTCCCACAAACAGCCATGAAGTGAACGACCAATTTTATTTGAGGGATTATTGGCCAGGAAACTGGGAGAAATTGTAAATAACCAATTTATTATTGTTTTTTTTTGGAGGGATTATTATTAGGCATGTAGAGTAAGGAAACTTGCCCAAGATTTTGCCCTGCCTGGAATTGAACCCAAACACATATAGTATAAAACTAGAGGTTTATGGGTTTGTTAATGAAACAGCATGATTTGACAAAATGATATTACCATAATAACAAAATATATAAACTAGGTGGGGTAGTGATAAAGGCCATTGGTGCACCAGGGTTGTAAAACACTGACTTGCACCCATGTCTCTCACCTTACAAAGTTTAGCCAAGGCAGCTGCTGAAAGGCAAAGAGGTGCTATCGGAGCAAAGAGGAAACCAGAATGTGAGTCAAGTGGTGTCAGTTTCTCACAACTCCCAAAACATATATTGATAGTGGATTAAGTAGAATTGGGAAGTGAATTGGGTAACGATCATCCATTCACTCTCTCAACTCAGGGAATAGTCATTCACACTGGAAAAACCTAAAAATGAGGAGAAACGTACCTCTAAACCCAAACATAAAGATATTTCCTCACATACAGAATCTAGGCTTGTGGTAAATGGTATTAAGTGTTGATTCAGGGTGGGCCAACATTTGTATATTATATGTTGCAAAATGATCCACTAGTTTGTTTGGATTCATGATGCCACACAAGTTGTTTCAAGTCATTGGTTTTAAAACGTAAACAAACAATTTCAAGGTCCTATTCGACTTTTTACCATCACTGGTGGTGAAAGATTAAAGTCTGACCCACACCTATCTGACTTGCAAAAAATGATTAGAGCAAATAACAGGGAGGAAACATTCAGTTTTTCTTTCGATGCAGTGCAAGTGGTTTATTTAGACGTTTCCGCCATCTAACCTTAAAACCACCACAACAGCTGGCTTGTGAAAAGTGAGACCTTAGTCACACAAGTACATGAAATTGGAAATCTAATACTAAACTGATACTTTCAAAAACAATTCAGACATTATCCCTCCTAAGAATCTTAAAACAGCTGTGATTATTATAGGAAAAATTAATGGAGGGCACAGTTTGTATATTATATATATATATATATATAACTGGATATTCATGTGGTGTAGTCCGGGACTCAGCAATGCACAATATCCCCAGTAACAAAGACAACAACCTGCATTTATCAAGCAACTTTCATGTAGGGTAAAGTCTCAGAAGTGCCCACAAAATGACAGTCAATTAATTTTACAGTATATTCTGTGAAGCGCTTTGAGATGACTCGAACATGTGATAATGCAATATCAAATGCAACGATTATTATTATTCACGGAAATAGTGCCAAACACCAAGCACAGAGCGTCGGGGGAAGGGGGGATGGAAGAGAGGTGCAGAGGAGAAGGGAGATGACACAATCAAAGAGGTAAGTTTTCAGGAATTTTTTTTAAAGACACTTGGGGCAGTGGGTGAGGCAAAGGTATTTAGAAAGGGAGTTCCTGAAGGTAGAATCATAACGGATGAAAGCTCAGCCACCCATGATGGGGCAGAGGGGGTGAGGAGTGCACGGCAGGCCAGAGTTTGCTGAGTGGAGGGGTAAGTGTGAGATTGAGGTTCTATTGATCTTCTGACTTCAGAATGTACTGTATTATTACATTCAATAAGAATTACTACAAGACACATCACATTGGTGTCCCAAACTGGTAGGCAGCTTCCACATTGAAAACAAATGAAAAACAACTATTTGAAGAAATGAGGATATGGAATACTGTGTCTATGGTGATCCTATTAGTAGTTTTTCATTTATAAATTTAATTGATTCAGAGGTTATTTATGTAACATATTTGTAATTGGTTCAGATGTTATTTATGTTAAGTCCATTATGAATGACTACAGGGAAGAATAAACATGGTAATTCACTGATGCAACAGTGCTCTTAACATCCAGGAGGGCATCCAAACACATCTACTCACGCAGTGTTTCCTACACAGAGCAATACAAACTAAACAGTTGGTTACAGAGTATGTTGTATGTCCAGCTACTTCTGGTATTAAAAGACAGACCCCTGTGCTGTGTACAGGATTGCTTTGATCCCACGTTGATTAATTGACCTTTTTGGGGCTTGGAGTTTGGAGAATCATCACCATGCAATTTGCCTGAAAAGACAATGCTAATATTGCCAGTGCTTCTTTCCCCAGTGTTTTCTGAATGGATAGCCAGCCCACTGGCATTGCTTAACACCCTTGCTGCATTAAGCAATGCCAATGAGTCAGAAACGTCCTCAACAAAACAAATTGTATGTATATAGCACCCTTCACGTGGGGCAGCGACTCAGAGCGCTTAATATGCAATTTACTCATCGCAAATGCACAATCATTTTCCTGTCACTACTACAGTTGGGAATAATCTTTACGGTGAGGTATTTGGTTAAGCAAATGATAGAGAGAATGAGAGAGAGAGGCGGAGGGAGGAATGTAGAGAGGAAGGTGGGTATCATTGTAAGGTAAGTGACATGCCATTCACATGTAATTAGATTTTACTGAGTTAAGCAATTAGTTCTAATCTTATACAGCTTACTTTATGTGTAGGTCACCACCACCAAGACCACTAAATGTCCTGAATTTACCAGCAAAGAGTAATCTCTGCATTGTTATCTATTGAAGGGTTCACTTTACCGTTAATACAATACTTTGTGAAAAAAATGTTTGGTTCTCCTCCAAGAACTTTTATTTCCAGATGTTTTATTACACACACACAGTTGTTCCTGCTATGGAGCCAGTGGTATGAATGAAATTAGAGACTTTTTAAAAACAAAACACAATTTATTATACAGAATTCCAATGACATGAATCGCAAATTTTTCAGATAAAAACAAGAAAAAAAACAAGTAGCAAGGGTTTGAGTCATATAGTTGGATCCAAGAAGAGAATTGTGTTTCTTTTAACACCAAATTTGAAGCTGCATATATATTTATAATTACCATAGCATCTGGTGGAACCTATGCAAATTAATCTTTTAAAGGCAAGATTGCTGGCATTGTTTGGAGTGTAGCTATTTACATAATTGTTTAATATCATATAACAGACAGATGTTGCACTAACCCTTAGTGGTCTGAGCAACATTTCTGCGAAACTTCCCAAAACAAGACAATCTGAAAACTTTGCAGTGTTTTTAAAGAGGGTGCAATTAATGGAGGTTTGCTCTAATAATAATTTAATCCTTTCATTTGATATAGCGCCTTATGTTGAGACGTCTCAAAGCGCTTCGCAGAATATACTGTAAAGTGAAATGACTATTTTGTGGACAAAACGCAGCAGCCAATCGTGCACAACAGTGCCTTTAATGTGCTTCATTTTGTGCCCAACTCTTCTGCAGCACCCTACTCCAGTATAGCAGTTCAGAAAATAATCCAATGGTCTGGTGTAGCATTAACCTTGCAGGTTACAGATATGAATCGTGATCTGCACTGAATTAGCTGATCTCAGCCGAAGGTTGCAGTCGAGATGCTACAATTGGTCTTCATGTCTCTATATTAGGGAGACATAAATCAGCCTGAGTTCATGTTCCTCATTCCTCGTGTTCATCAAGTGATGTGTGTGCGTATATGTGTATGTAAAAAAAAACGGGATGGGACGTATGATTAGATGCAATAATCTGCGAACACTTACACTGTCAAGGCCACTTGAAAGGTACTGGAGGAC